CGTACGAGGGCGATTCATTCAGAGAGGTAAATGTGACTCGAGTCGACGCACATACATAAACACATGCCACTAGCTGTTCGGTCCAAGTGACACGCAACGCAACGTCCAGCCAGCCAACCACCCATCGTTCCCCTAGCAGCCCATCATATCATGCAGCGAGTGCCTTCTCGGCCATCTTCATCGCTCCCTCCTTCGTCGCATGGCCCCCGATGAACCCAGTGCCGTGCACGAACACTCCCCCCTCTATGCCCATCACACGACTCAGCTCCTCATCCCTCAGCCCCCGCCACTGCTCGGGAAGGGCCTTGCGCGATGTGAAGGAGCCCTCCTCCTCGGCAACGGCTTGCACGCGCCACGAGCCCTTCACGTCGGCGTAGATGACGTACACCACTGGAGGCACGCTTGAAGAGCCGCCCTGCTGTTGCTGCTGTTGCTGCTGTTGCTCGATGTCGAAAAGATGGGAGGCCCATGGGCAGAATCTCTCGAGCAGAACGATCTGCCCGGAGGAGTGGACGTTGTGCCGGTTCCCATACGCCAACTTGACGATCTCGCGGGCCGGCCACCACGAGTCCCACAAGTCGACCACACTGTTGACGAACTCCTCTCCCGCCAGCCGCATCGCCCGCTTGAAGGCCGCGTTGCTCTGCCCGGGCGATTGTTCCTGGTTCCATCGCGGGTTCATCTGACCCACTCGTCCGCTCAGGTGCGTGTAGATCTTGTACCTCAGCGGCCCGTCCGCCACCTCGATCCCGTTGTCAATGCCGTCGATGGCCTCCACGAAGGACTGGTAGATCTTCTTGTACATGACGTCAATGGCGGCGGCGGCGGCCTGCGGGCCGACAATCGTCTCGATGACGCGTCTGCCGTAGTGCTTGTAGACAAGGCCTGCGGACGAGAGCTTGGTCTCAAACCCACCACCAAGCACGTCGGCGAATCCGGCCTGGTGGTGGTCGAAGCGACGGGCGGCCGCGTCGTAGACGCCACCCACATCGACCTGAATGCATCACAGGGGCAGTGGCAGTCAGGTGCACAGATTGCCGGGAGGGAAACACTCAGTCGCCGAGAGCCTTGCGTGAGTGTGCTTTCACTCACCACTGTGTGGGCCCTGTCGAGGTAGGCAGGATTTCGAGAGCGGATCACTGCCGCGCTCTCGTACTCGGGCAGCAGACGCAGCAGTGCACACGCCAACACCTGCACTCACTCACCGACAATCAGCACTATCACAGACACGCGACCGACAAGTAAGTCACAGCCCTGGCTGGCACTCACGCGGTGCGTCACCTCATCGCAGTGGAAGACGCCGTCGTGTGTCCCGATGAGCTTCAGCTGCTCGCCCGCACCCACTTCGTCAGGACTCGACACTACGGTTGTGCGGTCGAGTTTTTGCCATTGCGGGGCCGTGTCGGTTTTTGCCGTTGCCATGCAGAGAGATCTGGAGGCACGCCGCTGCAGCGTGGATGTGCAGAGGCGGGCGAAGCTGGAAGGGCGGTATGCGTGGAAGATGGAGGCGACAAAGGCTATTGACAGATGCAGCGACGACAGTGCAGATCTGGAAGGGGGAAATCTCACGGAGCACCTCCTCAGCATGAATGGCTGCGTTTCTGGAAGGAGCAGCTGGTGCGAGATGACTGAAGAGCGGGAAGCAGACGTAGTCAGTGATAAGAGCACTACCATAGGTTGGTAACTGGGCGTATGGTGTAGTGGTATCACATCTCGTTCGCATCGAGAAGGCCATGGGTTCGATCCCCATTGTGTCCATGTTGACTTGACAGCCTGCTGACTTTTGACTCATCAGCAGGCTGTCTGAGTCATCTGATGTCACGTTGCCTTGTGCGACCCATCCCCAGGTGCCCTCCTCGGCAGATCCTGTTCCCATGACTGGCGTGGGCTCGGCGCGAGTGAGCCAAACATGTCCTCTCCTCAGAGAATCTTCGTGTGATGTTGCTGCGCTGCTGCTGAAGGAAATATGCGTGTCACTTGGAACGAATGGTGGCCTTTATGTGTGTCGAGTGAGTCACACCTCTCTCTGAATCAATCGCCCTCGTACATGCATTGTATGTATTCAGTCAACATTCGTCGTTCATCCATGTCCAACCAGCCCACATATCCTTCTCAAAGTGTTTGCCCAATCGACCCCCGTCCCTCCCCTCCCTATTCACTGCTGCTGCTGCTGCTGCTGCGGCTGACAGGGAACATACGGCGGGCCATGGGCCATCCATGGATCGGTCGGCTGGTAGTTAGAACACTGCGTGTCCTGTGGCCGAGCGTCCTGTGGAGGGGACGACTGCCTCAATCTGGTGGCTAGCAGCGGCATGGGTCTCTCGCCACTCGACGGCGGCGAAGCAAGGCCATGGCCGCCGCCCACAAAACGCTGCTGCTGAGGGTACGGGGGCGACGCTTGCCAGCTCACCGGACGATACACGTCCACATACGGCTGCCACACACCAGGGGAAGCACACCATCGATCCACCAGATGTGCAGCCCTGAGTGTGGTGGTGCTCGCTCACTTGTGCCATTCGTGGGCCCTCGTCTTGGCCCTCGTACCCCTCCCTGTCTGCCGTCCCCACAGGCAGGAGCCGCGGCTCTGTCGGTGACCGATGGTGCACCGTAGCCCGGGGGGCAGCGGCGAAGCGGGTGTCGCTGTGCCCTCTTGAGGGCTGCAGAGGGCTGTTGGCCTGGAGCCCGCTCGTGTGGCTGTGTTGTGGGGTGTGGGTGTGGGCTGGAGGCATCGAGGCGGTGTTGCCAAGGGACATCACCTGATTCAGGAGCAGTGGGTGAGTTTTGTGTTTTGGTGTGGTGTTGACCAGCACCTTACTCACCTTTTGGTCTAGGATGTTGAGCCGCTGCTCTACCAGACGATACTCCATGGCCACCTGAACCAGCCAACATATACCAGGCAACCGTCGTGTCAAGTCAGCAAATCGTCGTGCGGGTCAGCCAGCCTCTCACCTTATCGACCTGCCGGGAGACCACGTCCCGAATGTCACTCATCTCATCCATACGCCCCCCACTCCTCTCCCCCTCCTCTGTTGCCCCCGACCTATCCCCATCTCGGCGCTGCTGCCTCAGCTCGCCCTCCAGCTGCTCCACCCTCTCTGCAAGGGTGGCGACGGTGTGTTCGAGTGAGACCACCCGGCCCTCATGCCGCCTCTCCATCTCAGCCATCCTGACCGTCACGTGCTGCTCCAGCGCATCTACGCGGGGCTTCAACACCGCCATCTCACACGCGCGCTGCAGCCACACACGAAATAAATGCCACGGTGTTTGCGTCCATTTCCGTGCAGCCTGGGGTGGAGGTACCTCTTTCATTTCAAAGAACAGGGCCTCGAGCTCGCTGGATGGCAAACAGGCCCGCGCTGGCGACGGTGGGTGAGAGGCGTCCACGTGTGCTTGAGCTCGCGCGGGAGATGAGCACTGTGTGCCCTGGGTGTGGGTATGGGCGTGGGTATGGCGATTGGGCAGCACGGATGGAGCGGGGCGGGAAAGGGGGAGGGTGGGAGGCAGCACTTCTGACAAGCACACAGACAGACAGGTATTGCATGGCATGTGGCCTCTGCTGTGCATAGCATGTGGTAGGTGTGCCTCTCTCTTGCGGACCGGACTCACTCACCTGGTGTCGTGATGCGCCCTCCTTCCCACCCGGCAGCGACCGGTTTGCCCCTCACCACCCTGACACATACAACCAACCAACACCCAGACAGACATATGTACACACAACACAGACCACATATCAATCGCACCCGTCACGGCATTCATAACATATGTCCTCACCTGACACTGTCGTCCCCATTTCCCGCTTTCACCCCTCCCCGCCTCTGCACCGGGGTCACCGAGCCCCCCTTCCTGCCCACTCGACCACTTCCACCACCACCACCACACGATGCTGCCGGGGTGGGCGTCGTTGCCCGCCTGGATGCGTTGCTGCTCGTCGAGGGAGCCGACGACGGCGTATGTCCGAGGGCTGGCGGCCTCGGGCGGCGGTGGTGGTGGTGTGTGTGGCGGGCGTGTGAGGCCTTGTGCAGCTCGTGGTGCTTGGCCATGATGTGCTGGATGGTGCGGCACAGCAGCTGGAGCTTCTTCAGGGGCGCCCCAGTGTTGAAGAACAGGGACAGGGGCAAATCGGGCTCATAACGGAACTCCTCTCGCTGCAGACAGACCGAAGAGAAAGACGCTCGCTGACGAGTGGATATATGGGCGTAGGGTGTGGTGTGTGGGGGGAGATGGCTTGCTTACGAGAAGTTTGTATATGTTGTCGATGAACTTGCGGTCCGCCGCGGCCCTGAAGGCATAGCCCTGGTCGAGCAGGTAGGCCGGCACGTATGGCGACCACTCAAACACCACGTAATGCAGCAGCGACAGATAGACAGCCGGCACACCTTCCTGCAGCCTGCCCACACACAAGTGATGACATGGCGCGTTAGATTGTATTGTGTTGCAGGCTCTGGTGAGGCATGCTTACTGCATCCACTGCTCTCGCGTGAGGCTCTCCCTATTGATCTTTCGCAGGTGGGTCTTGAGCGTGTCCATGTGCTGCTTAAGCGTCCCCTCGGTCACCGACTCGTGTGCCACGAAAGAAGGTCGCATACACGCCCCATTGCCCACAACACGCCTCACAGCCGACATGATAGCAACGCTATGTATGGCTCTCTCTCTCTCGTCTAGGCCTCGCCTTCAGCAGGCTGTGCGGGGGGTGTGGCGGCGGTTGTGATGGCTGGTGGTTCAGGCATCATGAACACGCGACGACGCTCACGCTCCTCCATCAAGGCCTCGTTGTTGCTGCACAGAATTGAAACACGCGTCGGAACGGGCAGCATCAGGACACAGCACAGACACACACAAGCCAGTACGTGTGATCCAGGGGAGGATGCATTAATTAGGGTGGATGCTGCCTCAAGCTTACCGTTTCCAGGTCTGCATGGTAGGCCACATGGTGTAGTAGCTCGTGCCGACGCCAACCATCAGCACCAGGAACACATCAGCAAACTTCACCCTGCTCTTCATCGTATTGACATCCTCCCATGGATTGATTCGTCAACGTCGTCCTGACACCCTGTCGTACGCGGTGGACTGAGCGTATGTGGCCAAACTCCACAAACTCCAACAGCCCGCCTCACCTGAAGCGTTTCACGCTACCCGGCGGATAGCATCCGCTTGGATGCGGTTGTTTGGCGAGATGGCGGACAAGGAAAGATCCGCTGCCGCCGTGGATAGGAAGAAGAAGCTGTTGCAATGGAAACAGGACAAGGAGTAAGGAGAAGTACGGATGATGGTGCACAACCCATCGAATGGATGAATTGGACGGATGGAATGCATTGGATGCATCTCAATTCTCTTTGCCATTGTTGCCTGCAGGAAGCAGCAGCACCCGCATCCCCCCGTGCAGCAGCCCTCGATGATCCCCAAGCCGAAACAGGCCGCCGCGCGCGCACCACAGGTAGTGCATGGGCCATACAACGTGACGTCATCCGAATGCATCCGAATGCACAACGCTATTATCGTTTTCTCTCCTATTGTCAGCATCAGCACCAGCACCGACCCCGCACAGCTGCATCGGCGGGATCGGCGGCCGGCACTGCATCTGCCTCCATCGCATCGGGTGCGGGTGATGCGGCCCATCTCGGCGCGCGCCGCCACCCAGCTGCCCCCCACCATCAGCACCATCTGCACCAGCAGCAGCAGCACCAGCACCAGCACACCGTCGTCCAGGCGACGGAAGACCAACACACGCTCCACACGCCGAAAAAGGACAAGTAAGCAATTGACACGACAGACAGAGCGGAGGGCATATGTCGACCTGGGGGGCACTCATTTTTTCTCTCCCCATGGATGGATGCTGCAGTGCGTCGCAAGTTGTGCATTCGCCCAAGGGCGAGATCTACAGCACACCGGATGGCGGTGCTGGCGGTGCTGGCGCTGGTGACGGTGATGGGGCGGCGCGGGAGTCCAAGGCCATCGACACCGATGGACTTTTGGAGAGGATGGTGCGCGGCGTGCGTGAGGAGGAGCTGAGGGCTCTGATGCAGCAGGTGGTGGAGTGCACCCTGGATGACAAGTTCGGCGATAGCGTGGGAGCCGGGGTGGGAGGGGGTGGGGTGATGGGGCGGTTGCGTGATGTGGAGGTCAACTTGGGGAGTGTGGGTGCGGTTGAGCGGGGGCTGGCGGGGGTGGAGGGGAAGATGGAGGGCGTGAGGGCCAAGGTCGACATGGTCCTCAAGGAACAGTCACTAATCAAAGAACAGTAAGACAGATAGATGAAGGACACAAACGACACGAACTCTCTTGTGCTGTTACTGTGTCTCTCATTTCTCTTTCTCAGGTTGACCCAGCTGCTCAGCATGACCACTCAGCAGCAGCAGCAGCAGCAGCCGCGCGATAGCTCCAAGCCCCCTCTCCCAGTGCCCGTCCCCGACCGCACCCCGCCACCCATCCACTCATTCAAGCGCACCAACCCATTCTTCAACAACAGCAACGGCGGCATCAACGACCTCCCCTCCAGCCGCCTCCGATCGCCCACATTCGGTCCGGCCCTGCAGATGGCTCAATACCTCGAAAAGAACGCCATCCTGGGGCTCTCACGAGACGCCACACCACAGGTGCAGGTGGCCCTGGCCGACGGTAGCAGTGGGTTTGACGAGAAAAATGGCAATGGTGGGGGAGAGGGGCCTGGGGGTAGAGGTGTTGGCGAGTCGTGGCCCATCCTGGCGAGCATAGCCCAAGCTGGGCGTGTGGAGGTGCCGCTGGACCTGCCTAGTCTTGGTCCGTCGGTCGCTGCGTCGCCGGTGCCGCCCGTGGTGTCGGAAGGAGAGCAGCGGAGCCGCATTCGTGAGAAGGAGTATGAGCAGGGCGGGGAGGGGGGGGAGGGAGGGGAGAGGGCGGGCGTAGAGCAGACGACTGGCACGAACACCAACATGTAAGCGGAGCACAGACACGGCGGACCCCTCTCTCCCTCTCCCTCTGTGTGTGTACATCATTCTTTATCAGTCCGTTGGGGCATGTTCCCGTGACGCCTCCGCCGGCCCCCGCGTACACGACCCGTGGGCTGCTGACCGTGGGCGGCCGCGGCATGTCCATGGTCGACCTCAAGGACCTCAGCGAACCATTCTCGCCCAACACGTAATCAAACAGAGGAGGGAGGGGGACACTGTGCGGTTATCTTATCTGTCTCGTGCGTTACCTACAGAGGTGTGGGGGCAACGGCAGCGGTGACGGCCCCGCGGCCCATCGGTCCTCGATCGGCCAAGTATGCGAGACACTCTTTCCTTGGATGGCCGCCCATTCACTTGGGCGTGGCTCACTTGTGTGTGTGTGTGTGTGTGTTGCAGGATAGGTTTGCCTACTCGTGTACCCATGTCTTCAGCCAAGAAACGAGGCTGCAAGACGCCGGGGAGGTCAACCTCGCCATACACACAGAGGGACAAAGAGAGAGAGAGAGATGTAGGCAAAGTCCTTGTATGTATGTGAATGACAGGTTGGGTCATCTGGGGTCTCCTCGTGGCGACCGGAGCCCTCCCCTGATGAACATCGGGCTGGCTCTGCCACGCGACCCCTCACCCGCCTCATCGCCAGTACCATTCGCCCTACCAGTGAATGACCAACAGCATCTGTGTGTGTGCTGATGGGATGGATGGATGGATGCATCTGTGTGTGTGTGAATATGTAGATGACATCCAGCCCTTCGATGGTGTCGCCTAACGACGGAGGAGCGGCGCACGTCGCCGCACCAAACCGAGCCAACCTCAACTGACTGATACACGACAGAAGGTAGGAGGTCATCTGGTTGGTTGGCTGGGGGGCGACATACACATACAAACATGGGCGATGGTGTTTTGCTCGTTTGTTGTGCTGTGCTGCGTTGCTCTTTCAGGCTATGGAGTCTTTTTGAGCACACGTGGGTGAGGGATACCGTAGCGCATGCATACCTACATGGAGACACATGGATGGATGGATGGATGGAAATGCCTACTCATGATACAGAAGGGGGGATGAGGGGACTCAGCGCCTGGCTGCATCACACAGGGTGCCTCCGTGCGTGGACAAATCGCTCGTCTGTCTGTCTGTCTGTCTGTTTGGCTGCCCGTCAGACTGTCGATAGTGATTGGTCGATCTGCGTCCGGATACATCTTCATGGCGTGTGTCTCTTTCTTTTGCGTGATGATTGAACAGCTGCATGTATCTTCTGCGGATCTATTGGGAAGTGACTGATGGCAGACAGACTGGCGTCTTAAAGGACCGCTTCTCGGCAACCAGCCACGCACTCACACACACATACACACACACACACCGAGAACGAAGACAAAGCACTGATGGGAACCTGTACACTCAGACAGACAGACAGACAGACACACAGGCCACCATCGATTGTGAGGTACATCCCAGAGTCCAGAGTCCAGTCAGGTCGACTGAAACTCCCACGGCACAGCGGCTAGCTGTGCGTTGCGACTACATCCAAGCAGCTTGGTGTGTCTCAACCCCATTCGCAGGCAGCCCCACCCCACAGTCGCAGCCACCCGCACACAGCCACGCCCACCCCACCCACCCACACACACACACACGAAGATACTGACGCCGTGGAAACGCCATGATGTGTCTGCCCCCCTTCCATTCCCCCCCAAAAGCAGCGGGTGGACAGGCACCCTCACAGCCGGCCACAGGAAAAATAGCCGTAATCCCTGAAGGAATGCAGTGAAGTGGCCATACGAACACACAGACGGTGGAACGTTAAGACAGCGAATCACACCCCGACCGGATACAGGCTCCATGCACTTAATCCATCCACTGTATTCATCCATCACGGTGCATGGAGACATAAGTACAGGTATGGCACCGAGTGCCCGCACCATCCGCAACGCCTCATGCTGCTGCTGGTCATGGGGCTGACTGGAGGCAAAGGCGAAAGTGACCAATCGCTGCTCGCATCACCACCAGATGGCTAGTCCCTATCTTCTGCAGGTACGCATGACGGTCACATCGTCGTGTTGGCCGGTCGTCAGGACGTGAGGCGTCTCCTCTCCCCACGTATCATCGACAGCGTCCGGCAACACACGCTGGGTGAGGTCCATCGAGCGGGCAAACGGAAGAGCGGCGGGCTGGCTGTCGTTGGGTTGCGACCTGCCGCGATTGATGCGCAGGTGGGGCAGCTGAAGGCCGCGTCGCGTCAGGAGGGGGGAGAGGGCGCCTACTACCGATGGACGTCGAGGCGTGCGTCGCTGCCGTCTCGCGTGAGGCCAGAGTCGTGCTGGTCGACAGCATCTGGGCGCGACGGACCCTTGAAACACGACACACAAGCATCCGGAGAAAGTAGTCAAGGAGCAACAGTGTTTCTCCTTCCTGATGGCCACTCACATGTTGCTCCTGGTGTACGAGACCACGGGGGCCACCGAGACTCCCTCCGAGGTGTGGGTGTCTCGGAGTCGGGCGGTGTCGTCAGATTCCTGGTGGTGGGTGCCCTCCCCGCCCTGTGCGGATGACGTTGATGACGTCTGGCTGAAGCAGCCGATGACGTCTCCAGTGGCAGCACGACGATGACCCTGGACGGAACGAGGGGAAGGCATCGAGTCTCGAAAAAGGCCGGCCCACCACCCAAAACACACCGAAGGATTTCGGCCGAAGGACCGCGGAATCCCGCACGATGTTTTGCAGATCGTTTTGCACCTTGGGCGCGCCAAAGTCGAGACTTCTCGGCTCCTGCATGTTCCCGGAATCTAGCTAATCTAGCTCAGTATGGGTCTCCGCAGCCTGTTGAGATCCCAATGTCCAGTGCCCGGCCTCTCATCCGGCACGCGCCCGCCATCTCCATCTTCCCCCACCGCTGAGCGTCACGGTCCCTCCGTCTCTCTCTGCAGGCCGGGCAGTGAATCCGATGTCGTCGACATGTGTGTCGAGTCGACCAAGCGCAGAGGACCGAGATTCACATTCGGCAGCGAGCTGAGACCGTGCAGACTGTACGAAAAAGATGGCACGTCGGTTTTCGGTGAGACAGGCGCAAAATCCGATTCGCGGGATGCCTCGAGAAGGAGGAGCTCATTATGGGGAAGAAGAAGTGGCTTGCGGTGGGCATTCAACCGATTGAGGGCATACGAGGCGGGAGAAAAGGATCAGTCTGCAGCGGGGCCTTCGTTAGCCGTGTCTCGAGCACGTCGGGAGCATCCCGCAGTGCCTGCCACGTCGATTGGGTCAGGAAAGGCGCATCTGCTTGATGAGTGCTCTCACACGACAGCACATTGCGTACCTTTGTGCCCGTGTACGTGTATGCGGATGAAGGTACGTCTGTCTCTGCGTTGATCTCCTGTCTGTCTGTCTGTGTATGTGTCTATGTGTCTGTCTTCATGTGTTTAGAAGTGTGGTTGCGTCCACTCGACCACCGTCGTCTCCTTCATTGCGGCGCGGCGATATGAGTGGCGAATTGTCCACCGGGCCGGTCAGCCCCGCCTCGATATGCTCTCTGGGAAAGGATCCCACGAGACACTGGTCAGAGCACACTCGTAGGAAGCTCTGTCCGTTGATGACATGCATCCTGCGCCCGCTCTACATGCAGCCCTCCTCGTTGCGTTATTGCCCCCCCGCCCCAGCAGAAGAAGGCGCGTTCAGACCGGAGAGGTACCCAACAGAAGGTCAGCTGAAGGGTTGCATTGCTTTCACACGTGTCATATATGTGCAGGGATCGGCATGACGATGGAGAACCTGCAGCCCTTGCTGCCGCACACCCCTGCCGCCCGCATGACGGCCCCTTCTACTCCCGTCATCAAGAAGCCGCCATGCCCGCACCCCTCGCCGCTCGGCTACCAGCCACACAAGCCGGCAAAGGCGCGAGCAGCCGTTATCCTGCCGCTCACGGTGTCTGTCTTGAGGGGCATCGCAAGATGGGCCAGGCTTATACCTGGGCCAGGCAGCTATGACACTGCTACCGAGAGTCAGCCTCGATCGTTCTCGTTCGCACGGGCGTCGAGTACCTTTCCACGACAGAGGGGGCGAGCCATCGACCAGCCGGGGTTTATCGACTGCACGAGGGCACTGTCGGCGACTCTTCCACGCAGCAAGAGCGCCATCGTGCTGCCCAAGCACCCAATTCGCATGCGCCAGCCGAGACACAGGGAGCGAAGAGACATCAGTGGATGCATGTCAGCAGCATGCGAGCAGCTGATCAGGAGGAGGGGGGGAATCGGTGTCATTGCTTGGGTGAGGGCCACCAAGAGACGGCCGGCTGGGCCTTGTGGCGCAGATGAGCGACCTTTGCTGCTGGCATGCGACAAGTGGGTGAGGCCGTGCAAGCCCACCGCTCGCTACTACGAGCCCGTGGACAAGCCCCGGCTTTCAAGTGTCCCCCTCACCATGCTTCACCCGGGCAGATGGGTGTTCTACGACCCACCGGCACATACAGCACAGACCACCGACTTCGCCAGAGCCATGTCTTTCGAGGAGTTCGTGTCCAATCAGAGGCGAACAGATATACTGCGCCGCCATTTGGTGGCTCAGAGGACCAGAGGGCCGTCCCCCGCAGAGCACCGAATCCCTGACGCCGAGGTGTGGAAGGGCCGGCGTGCGCCGTGCATTGATTTCAGCAGTGGGCCGGAGAGGGAAGACGAGACGGGTGGAGAGGGGGAAATAGATGGCGATGTGCTGGTGCTGGACCCCGAATGGAGGCTGATGAGCGCTGATACAAAGGGGTTGCCCGAGTTTGATCGACAAGTAGTGCCCTGGGCCAGAGAAACAGAGAAACAGAGAACATGTCTCCTCCCCTGGGTGTATGTGTGTGTGCATCCATTGATGCAGGGAGGTCGTGAGTTGCTGGTGGAAGGGCGGCAGATATGGGATGCCTTCTACGGCGACAGGATCGAGGGCGTGCCGCTCGACGGCGATGTGCTGTCACTGAGGCAGACAGACTCACACGGCGGAGGGGTGGCCAAGGACATCGTTGCCATGGACCGGCTCACATCAAGGGAGGAGTGTGTGCTTGTGCCGAGGCTGTACTTTGTAAGCAGCCAGACGCGCACAAAGACATGGCACATCAATATCTCCCTTCGTGTATCTGGCTGTGTGTCTGTGTGTCTGCAGATAGGAGAGAGTGCGTTGCGTGATGTGTTTGTGCTGCGGCAGCTTGGCGAGGATGATCAAGTTGACATGGCTGGGGGCTGGAGGGCCCTGCTGAGGCCTGAGTTCAATACGAATGTCTGACTCGCCTGTCCACTTGGATACAGGGAGACGCAGGATGAGACGGAGAGACACGTACATTCATTTATGGTGGGCAACACACATGAATCTGTCCATGGACAGCAAGTGAGTGAAACCTGAACGTGGGATCAAAGGGAAAGGTTCAGACAGATATAAAATGAAGGCAGCGATGGATTGCCGTCAGGTCTCAAGCAAATGTCTCTCGCTCAAACACCCGTCTCTCGCTCAGGCATCCCACCACAGTGCTACATATCGCCTGCCTCCTCGCCCCCTTTACTGTCGCGGCCTTTTTTGCGTTCCGTCCTCCTCTTGAGACGTAGGCGGCCTGTGGCGCCCTCACCTCCCCCAGCGCCGCGTCTGCCCGCAGCTCGGCTATCGGCAGCTGCATGTTGGGCACGCTGCGGGGAGGGAGGGCCGCCTCAAAGGCGCCACGGTTGTAGGCAGCGATGTCGAGGGGGAGTCAGTCCCAGCAGGCCTCCCCCAGCTCCTCCTCAACAAACGACTCGTCCACCGAGACCAGCGGGCGGATGTGCTGCAGCAATACACACACACACACACACACACATGCAGACACACAGACAGTCAATACACCACACACGAGTGATGATTGCCACTTGTGTGTGTGGTGTGTGCAGTGATCGCTCACGTACCTCGTCATTACGGTCGGATATGTCGGCCAGCACCGGGCCGTGGATGGCGGCCAGCGTGATATCATAGATCAGCTGGGCGGCGTTGGTGGGCATGGGCTTGCCCTCGGCCAGCCGCTTACTACTCACCACCTCAACCACCTGACAGACAAACGGAGAGACACAGACGAGATGGACAAATGTCGTGTGCAGGGTGAGTGGCATGTTGTGTGAGTGATGTTCACCTCCTGTATGTTATTGTGCGTTTCGAGCAGCGTGAAGGCCTCGGGGAGGCTATTGACCACCCGCGGGAAGTGGCTGCCTCCGTTGAGTAGGAAGCCAGCCACCATCCCGCCTGCAAAGCAACAGAACATCGAGATGCGAACACCGACTCGTGGCGGGCGTGCTTACGGAGAGTCAGGTTGGGGTGCTGCTGCTGGATTAACTTCACCAACTGACAGAAAAGGTGTCACACACAGACACAGAGAGGGAGAGGGACGTGTGTTGTGTGTGATGGAGGAGGGTGTGTGTTGTGTGTGGACATGGTTGTACCTTGGTGGGGTCCGTGATGTCTCGCTTACCGCTACTCACGGGCTGTGTCGCCACCTGCACCAACAAAGACAGCCAGACAAACAGAGAGGTGGGCAATGTGATCAACCAGACTGCGAGTCGGCCACTTTGTTTGCACCTGTATGTTTTCGATGCCGTCGAGTTCTGGGCAGGCTATGCATTTTCTCTTCTTGATCCACCTTATCCACCATATGATTATGATAGTAATAATGCTGCACACACACACACACACACACACAGAGAGAGAGAAGTGATGGCACACGTGGGCGACACGCACTGATGCATGTGAAGATTGAGCTCACATCCATCCGTCGCAGGTCTCGATGATGATGATGGGTTTGACAGCGCCCCGGACGGCTCGCGGCTCAGCCTCCTGGTAGCGGAGGAGAGCCGTCGAGCCCGCCTGGAGGCAGCTGTCACCCGCTGCGAAACGGATGGTCATCTTCTCGTCCTTGTTGGTGGCCTTGAGGTACTGCATTGATAATGAAAGAACCACACACACCGATACGACACATGAAGTGAAACAAGCAGTGAGTGACAGTCGACAGTGTGCCGTGTTGTGTTGTGTTGTGTCGTGTTGTACGTCTTTGGCGGTACAGAGGTGGCGCCACTTGTTGGGGCGGCGGTTGGTGATGTACTCGTAGATGCCCTCGCTGAGCAGCTTGTGTCTGTCGGGTGCTGCTGTCTTGTCCCCCCATACTTCCTGACACACACATTGACACACACACACACACGACACACACACACATATGAGAATGCATGCGACGTCACACATGAGTGGCAATGTGCTGTGTGGGACCCACCACGAGTGTGCCCGGCTTGTTGAGTGTCGTGTCGAATAGTGACACAAAGTACTCGCCGAAGCAGCTATACAGGTGTTTCTGGTGTTTGGCTATGATGTCGTATTTAAATCCTCGGCCATGGTGTGACCAAAACCATGTGCAGCGATCGCCCAGCTGTCTTGTGACATATTGTAGCCGCTGACACGCTAGCGGACAGGCGGGTTGTGGGTGTGCGGGAGGGGGGTCAGGTCGAGACCGTACGCTGGCCTGTCCTTGATGGCCCGCAGCCTGCCATCGCTGTGGGTGAACAGCTCGAAACTACCCAGATTGCCACCGAAGTCTACTTGCCGCCCGACCATCTTCCACAGCGCCACCACACGCGGCTTAGCCAGAAACGCCTGAAACGACACACACACGCAGACAGACAGCAAGTGACCGACATTAATGCATCGCAGTGCACTGTGGATCCTTCCATACCTGTTTGGTGCGGTGTCTTCTCAGATCCTGCTCACCCACGGTCACAGGCAGCTGACACAATCCACACTGGCCGGCCAGCCGCAGTGCGTCGGCCGCTTCGTCCCACACAAGGCCGTCCACCAGCCACAAGGCCTGCGTCAAGGAATGAGCCAACACAGCAATGGATGACCGAATGGATGGATGGATGGATGGATGGATGTGTTTGGCCCTTAGCATACCTGCAGCAGGTAGTTGGCAGCCAACTGCGGCTCGAATGCGACCACGGCAGACAAACGAGTGCCATCAGGGAGCCGCGCGGCCTCCAGGGCGTGGCGGAGTGCAGCGCAGAAGGACGAAAGTCGACGTCCCTCAGGAATGAAACCGTGGATCTAAGGCGGCCGAGGTCCACTACAGTCAACAGCTCGTGGCGTCCCTCACGGCTGATGATATCTAACTGTCACAAGCACACAGACACACAAAGACAGAAGTGCTCAATGGCAAGAGTGAGTGCACGTATGTTTCATCAATCCACCGACTCCCATAATGCACCGTCAACGATACGCCGTGCATTATGAGTATGCATGCGGTGACTGACATTCATTGCCACGTAGTGAGGGCACTCACCAACCTCTGAGAAATGCGTCGAGAAAATGAGACGGCGAAGAGAGAAAAAAAGGAGGCGGTCCGTTGGCACCTGAGGATTACCCAGGGGATGCACATGAGCACACACACGGCAGTGAAATGGACCGTTCCATCCATCGCTGCACCCACACCATCACCGGCCACAGGCAGAAGACATGACACTCAAGGCCACACACGTGTGCTCACCTGATGGAAGCCAGTCGGCAGTCGGCATTCGCTTAGCAGAGGGCAGGGCACCTCCGGGCGAGGCCTTGCCCGGGGCACCGCGGCGGAGGAAGGAACTTCAAGGACTTGGCGGATGATATCCGGACGAGTTGTAGAGGGCGACAAGGGAGACTCCATAGGCCAACAACCGGGGAAAAAGGAAAAGAACCGGAGGATCTGTGGCCGAAGAAAGGCGGACAGGCCGAACGCCCGCCACCGGGAACTTTCGAAATGACAAATTCGTAAATCAGTCTCGGCCTGTCGCGTCTCGGATTCTCGCCGAGATTTCCCCGGCTTTTTGTCTTTGGTGCCGTCTTTGGTGTGCTGTCGAAATTGCTGTCTTTGCTGTCTGCGCAGCGCTGCAGACCCTTGCCCGGCAGCCAGCCAGCATGGATTGAAAGGAAGGCGCATGGACATCCATTCGCGGGCAATGGAACTGAGTGCACGCACGGGAACACCATGAATACTTCCCACCCACCCACATACCAAGCCAACGAGCCCCTCCTGTGCGTGTCGTTGCCACACTGACGCCGTCGAAAAAAGCTCCCGCATCTAGAATCGATACGAGCACCATTCACGACGGCACAGATGCGGCAGCGACACACACGAGCAGCCCACACACACAGGGGACGACAGCACAGATGGACGACACAAACAGGTCACACCCGGCTCTCACTTCCACACGGCTGACTGGCGGACCAACCCCTCTACCCATGAATGGAAAAATCTCGCCCACTGTTGTTACACAAGACCCACCCACTCGACATTAAGGGGCAGGCAGACAGAGTGTGTGGTCACACACGTCACTTGAGGAAGGCCTTCATGGGATCGTCGGCGTGCACGCGGCTGCGACTGTACGCCTGAGGGAACCAACAGACACAAACACAGAGAGGGAGCATGGCGCAACGCGTCGATGTCAGGCAGTCCACATGCGTGTGGTCTTCGCTGACCTCCATCTCCTCTGCAGTGACGGTGCCCAGCGCGTTGGTGCCGGCGATGCTGTGATACGACCGACGCCTGCACACGGCCAGGAAAGGAACGTGAATGTCCATGTGTGGTGTGTCGGGTGGGTGTGTGGTCACTCCCTGGCTCACCTCTCGTCGACGTCAACGTCTTGTTGCTCCTGTCTCATTCTCTTCATCTGCCGCTGCACCTCCCCCTCGTCCAGCCCCTCGGTGCCCAGGTTGTGGCCGTACAAACTGGTCTTCTGCAACGCCATCATGTCGCCCTTGCGCCCCTCCCCCTCGTCGCCCTCGCCCCTCTGTTTTCTCTTCCGGCGCCGCTCCTTTTTGTCCGTCGTGGCGCCGCTCAGCAGCCCACCACCAGCAGCAGCACCGGCCTTGGCAGCCTTGTCCCTGCGCTTGGCTGGCCGCCTCCCTCTCTTGTCCTCCTCTGAGTCAGAGGACGACTCGTCGTCCCCACTGCTCCCGTTGCTGCCCATCGCATGGTCCTCCTTAATGCCTGCAGGGGCCGGCTTGGGTTTGACGAAGTCAGGGAGGGGCGGGGGCGGCATGGCGATGTGGTCGGGCTGCTCGGCTGATGCCGCCGCTGCCGCTGCTGCTGCTGGGGGCGGTGGTGGGTGGGTGGGTGCAGGGGCGAGGGCGTTGTCATTGTTGGACTGAGGGGAGGAGGGAAGGGGGTGGCCGTTGGCCTGCTGCTGGACCGCCTGTGCCGGTGTGGGCTTGGACT